AAGTAATAATAATAAAACGCCAAACACGAGTTTTCTCCTTATTGCTAAACTCAGCCTAGAACAAACAACGACTAGTTAGGCTTTTTTCGAATAATATATTGCTTATAGATGAATTACTTAGGTATGGATAATACTTAGAAAACAAGCTAGAATATTGGATTCATCTTCGACAAGAAAGGCGCAAACGGTAAAGCATTAGAAAACTATGAAAAGGCACTTGAAATCCGCTTGACATCAATACCATCAAATCATCCAACATTAGCAACTACATATAGTGAGATTGGAGCAGCTTGCGCTAAGAAAGGTGCGTACGATGACGCATTAGACAATTATGAAAAGGCACTTAATCAGCTTGACATCATTGCCATCATTGCCATCAAATCATCTAGTCTTAGGAACCATATACACTAATATTGGATTCATCTTCGACAAGAAGGGGGCAAACGATAAAGCATTAGAGAACTATGAAAGGGTCATTGAAATCTACTTGACATCATTATCAGCAAATCATCCACCATTAGCAACTATCTACAATAATGCTGGAGCCGTTAGCGCTGAGAATGGTGCATAGGGGTGGCGCTTTATCGTTTCTTTACAGGTAACGCAGTAACGCATGCGTTATTGCGTTACTGGTACCGAGTAACGCATGCGTTATTGCGTTACTGATAACGAGGAACGCATGCGTTTCTGCGTTACTGGTAACGAGTAACGCATGCGTTACTCGTTACCAGTAACTACTAACGAGATGCGTTTATTTTTCATAGCTTTTGTAACGAGTAACGCAGCGTTACTTGCGTTACTTTAACGCTTTTTTGCGTTACTTTTCTAGTAACGCAGTAACGCTTGCGTTATACGTTACTTGTAACGCAATAACGCATGCGTTACTCGTTACCAGTAACGCATAATATAGTAACGCTTTAGTCGCATTGTGTCCGGAAGGTGATAAAACAATACATTTTCGGTTGTTCGGCTCTTGAAATCAGCTTGAAATCATTACCAGCAAATCATCCAGTATTAGCAGCTAGATATAATCATATTGCAGCAGTTTACGCTGAGAAAGGTGCACACGATAAAGCATTAGAGAACTATGAAAAGGCACTTGAAATCCGCTTGACATCAATACCATCAAATCATCCAACATTAGCAACTACATATAGTGAGATTGGAGCAGCTTGCGCTAAGAAAGGTGCGTACGATGACGCATTAGACAATTATGAAAAGGCACTTGAAATCAGCTTGACATCATTACCGTCAAATATTCCCGCGTTACCAACTTCATACACTACAGTAATATTGGATTCATCTACGAAAAGAAAGGTGCATACGACAAAGCATTAGAGAACTATGAAAAGGCCCTTGAAATCAGCTTGAAATCGTTAGCATCCAATCATCCATTATTGGCAGCTATACATAATCATATTGGATCCGTTTACGCTGGGAAACACCGATACCATAAAGCATTAGAAAATTATGGAAAAACATCAAGTTATGATAGTATGGCACTTGTAGATTATGTACAAGGTGATCATGTGAAGGCATTAATCTCACATGAAAAGGCTCGTGGAATGTTTTTTCTGGGATAAGTCGCCCTCGTCCTGCAAGAACATACGGGAACGTGGCAGGAGCGCACAGGGCTGTCCCTTATCGATATGCGTAACCGTGCGCAGGAATTCTAAAACTGATTGATTATAGCTGAGATGTTGTCCGGATAGGCAAATTGATGTGGTCTATGTAGTGTGTCGTATCAGAATCGCGCCATCTTGAGAGTTAGGAAAGGTCTGCAGAATTTCGTTTCCCTGAGGACGGTAACTGGAAGCGTGAGAGATAAAACAGGGTGCTGCGGTCCACCGAATATTTGTTTTAGTGGAATCGTGCTAAATGAAAATGCTCGTTGGCCAGTCAGGTTCTTTCCTTCATTGATCTGTGGATCGCAGATGAACGTTGCTGTCTCTAATATTGATATTTGCTTTTTCACTAAGATATTCATGGTGGAAAGGACATATGTTCAGTACCGAAAAGCTTTTTCCGCGAAGAAGACAATTTTCTTTAATTTGATTCGATGACGCAGCAGCGGATGATATTCCAAATGATCTACGTCGAGTAACTCAAACTGCCGACGATACCTTCGAATGTTTATCTATCATAACGTCATTTTATGAGAAAAGAATATACTTGGTATTATCGTCATTATTCGCTGATATAATTCTCCCATTTGTTTACAACGAAATTCAAATTGAAGCCATTTATGTAATCGACGAAAACATGTGTAGTCAGAATAGTGATTGGCAGGCACACTAACTATTCAAAGCTTTGGTGTCTTTGCAAAAATTGATAAATTATTAATAATTTGAAGGTAGAGCAGTAGAAACAAATTTAGAAATTATTGAGTATAACACTGCTACAAAAATCATAAAAGATTTTTAACAAAAATCACTTTATAGTTTATTCAAGCTTTCGATAAGAGAGACTTATCATCATCAGGAAAAACAGAAAAGTGAAATAATTCATGTCGATTCTAACACGGATATCGTTGGATATCGAAAACAAATGTCTTTCTTTTCGTTTTCAATCTCATAAATAGCTAATTTTTTCACAATTTGATGCGCGCTTACATAAACAGAATTGTCTTCGTCATATCCATCGGTATATGTATATTCGGGTACTGGTATTGAACATGATCAATATTCAGATGCACTCAGATGGGTTTCTCGTGACCGAGATAGAAAGTACGTCTGCATGCGTTTGAAACCTCCTTTCATTGCAGGTAAAAACCTAGACATGCCTGCGCGCGTCTGAGAGAATGATCAAAATTGGTTCCAATTGAGCGCGTACAGGCACTTCAAACAAGTTTGAGAGAGTAACGTTTCATACAGTCGCACCTTAGTCCTTCACATTTGAATGGAAGAGTTATACTTTGGACCTAACATCTGCGCTAATAAGCTTGTTTTATCAGTGCGTTCATCGACATTTGTGACCGAACAGAAACATTTAAATTATGCTATTTTATATTAAAGTTTTAGATTCATTTCTTCATTCGACTAAAATATGTCATTCAACAGCGATAATTTTGAACGGTTGACAAATTGGTATGGTTGTTTAATTACACTTCTGTGAATTCTACTGTTTGATATTATTTTAAAGCTCAAACATTTGTGATGATTCAGTTTCGAAACCGTACAATAAAATAATACAACCTCAACGTTTCATTGGTGTTTGGCTACATGATCATGATATTAAAACAAGAAACGGGATGTATGAACAGTTTGATTCACCAGAAATATTCAATGACGACTGGAGTTTTATCAAGTATATAGTTACATGTGTTTCATCTGGAATAAATCAGAAATTAATTTGCATCATATCATACAAAATACGAATCAGGTATCACCATCATTGTAAATGATGGTAAAGAAGAGATGATTTACAAGATTTACATACAAAACACGAATCAAAAATTTAACTACAATAAGTGGATCAGAACTCTAGAAAAAACAACCTCTAAATGTCATATTTTCGGTGAATACACCAGTCTATTCTCGTCTATGAAGAATGATATTGAAAAGTACATTGACAGTGAAAATCTAGAATCTGCTAGTGAAGACACTGCATCAGTAAAGCATTTTTTGCCACCAATAAGCATATTGAGTTTAGATGTTAAAGAAAATACTATTTTCGATGTTAGTAAACGATCTCTTTGATTTATTTTGTTTCAATCAATTATCGATATTCTATTGCATATGGACCATAAGAATGACGCTAGATTTGAAATGATAAACGAATGTTGTAAATACTATGAAGACGATAGAATAGAACTGAAAAAAATTGATGACTTTCAAAAAGATTATCATGGTGACAGAGCCATTCTATGGTATACCGCTGATTCATTTTTATTTCGCTTAGTGAATAAAGCATTTAGAACAGAACTCATCGAGAAAATTTATGTATTTCGATTATTCATTACCGATTTATATAATCAATTATTAAAAGAATTTGAAACTCAACAAAAAATGAAACGCAGTTTGAAGGTATATAGAGGGGCACAAATCGAGTCGAATCTGGTAAAACAACTTAAAAATAGTACTGGTATACTTATTTCAATGAATGGCTTTTCATCTGCTACCAGTGATATTGAGGTTGCTAAAATATTTGCAGGTGATGGTAAACATAATTTAGGATACGAATCAGTGTTGTTTGAACTGAATATTGACCCAGACATTCAACCAAAACCATATGCTGATATTAAACAGCATTCTAAGTTTCCGGCTGAAAAAGAATTTTTATTTTCGGTTGGAACTACATGGCACATCAACTCTGTCGAACTGAATCGAAAAAAAAGTGTTTGGGTCATAAGCTTAAGATTAACTTCTGATCAAGATACATCATCGATTGAACTATTAAGTCAAGTGAATGAACTAATTTCACGACCATGCACGCCATTAACATTAGCAAATGTTTTACTTGCTCTAGGAGAACATGATACGGCAAAGATATATTATAATGAAATGCTTAAGGACCATCTAAATGAACAAGAGAAAGAAGATATTTACATGGGTCTTGGAATACTCTGGTATGAAAAAAATGAATCGAACATAGCTTTAGATTATTTTGAAAAAACACAAATATCAAAAACATTTGCTCAATCTCCACATAATCTTTGTCAATTATCAATAAGTATCAATCAAGTAACCAGTTATCTTAGAAATAATAAAAGAACTCTTTCTATAAAATATTATTGTGAAATGAATAGTATTATTTTAATATGTTTATTAGAAAATGAAGATAATTCGTATGTAAAGATTTTCAATAATATTGGAATTATGAATCATAAAAATGGTAGTTACGAAGAAGCAATGAAAAATTATACAACAGCGCTTCAAACTGTAAATGACTACGAAACAGTACAAAATAAACAAGAACATGCAGCTGTATACAATAACATTGCTGGTATACATTATTGTAAAGGTGACTATGACTCAGCACTGATAAACTATGAACAAGCTATTAGGATAGCTGATCAAATGGTCTCAGATTCTTGGATTCGAGATTTTAAAAAAAATCAAGCTGCTGCTCAACGACGTTACGTAATTAAGAGGGATAGATAAAAATCTGGTATTTTGTTTTTATTTTGTTGTCATTTTATCTTTTGTGTTTGTTTCATGATCGTTCTTTTATGTTCTCAAAAATAAAATTTCCCTTACCCTACTTAACCCTTTACCCCCTCTTGGTCACTGGAGTGACTATTTGTAGATCGATGGCAAAAAATTAAGAAAGCATGGAATTTAAAAACTTTGGGAAGATGTCTTGTGCCGAACTCTATAAGCTATCGACTGATAAAGAAATATTTTGTTACAGTGTTTTGTCTCCGAAAAAGATGAATTACAAAATCGATGACTTTTAAAAAATCACAAAAATTGGATTTTTTTCGAAAATATTTTTCTTCCAACGGGCAAGATACATCTTAATAACCTATTGTGTGGTATATAACGACAATAATGTCTACCACCAACATTAATGCCTTTTGAAAGTTTCAGAAAAGCCAGGTAGATAAGAGATGATATGATACAGAATGGTCACTCCAGTGACCATTGGGGCGGAATAACTTGAAAAAGTCCTATTTTGGGCTTTCGTAAATTTTATATAATTCGACCAAAAAACGTCGCAGAGAGTTCGGGACATATCATTTTGTAGAGAATTGTTTGCTCTATCATTCTACGTAGTTTGAAAAAATTTTATTCGCAAGTTCTAGATGCCGAAAAACTAGGGTTCTGGTTTTCTAGAAAACTCTATTATTGGGAACTCAGTGATGATTTTTATTTTTGTAGATCCTAGTTAGCAACAATTTTCCCTACTCAAGCCACTGTTTAGATTCCTTTTAGCGTTTATGGTTGCGAAAAAAATCGAAAATACACCCAGTTGGTCAGTTTTTGTAACCACTGTAGTTTTCCAGCACCTAGAACTTGCGAGCAAACTACATAGAATGATAGAGCAAACAATTTTCTACAAAATGAGATGTCCCCGAGCTCTCTACGACGTATTTTGGTCGAACTA